AAAAAACTGGAAAATTTTCTGAATTGACAATTTGGTGTATTTTCAGGATATGTTTGTAACTTTTTTTTATAGGGAAGAATTCATATGCCAAGCAAAAAAAAAAAAAAGGTATGTATTTCTGTTGGCATTCGTGGTTCTTTTAGTTTTCATAACCGTATATTTATCTTGAGCTTATTATTATAGAAAGCGTGTATGTGAGGAATTTTAAGTGCCAAGCAAAAAAAAAAAAAAATGGTTTGTATTTCTATTGGCATTCGTGGTTCTTTTAGTTTTCATAACTGTGTATTTATCTTGAGCTTATTATTACAGAAAGCCTGTGCGTGAGGAATTCGAGTGGCAAGCAAAAAAAAAAAGGTTTGTATTTCTATTGGCATTCGTGGTTCTTTTAGTTTTCATAACCGTGTACTTATTCTGAACTTACTATTACAGAAAGCCTGTACGTGAGGAATTCAAGTGCCAAGCAAAGAAAAAAGAAATTAAGGTTTTATTTTGACTATTAGCATCCGTGGTTCTTTTAGTTTTCATAATCGTGTACTTATCTTGAGCTTATTATTACAGGAAGCCTGTACGTGAGGAATTCATGTGCCAAGCAAAAAAAAAAAAAAGGTTTGTATTTTGACTATTAGCATTCGTGGTTCTTTTAGTTTTCATAATTGAGTACTTATCTTGAGCTTACTATAGTATTACGGAAAGCCTGTACGTGAGGAATTGACTATTAGCTTATGTGGTTTTTTAGTTTTTCATAGTTGTATACTACCTTAAATTTATTCAGTAATCTATAAGGTACATGAATTTTGAAAGCGCCAAGAAATATGAGGAATCCAGGTGTGAGCAAAAAAGGTTGGTTTGTTTTTCGGTTGTTAGCTTTCGTGGTTCTTTTAGTTTTCATAACTGTGTAATTGAACTCATTATAAAGAGCCTGAATGTGCTGAGATTCAAGATTTTTTTTTTAATGACTTGCTAAAGTCATTCGGTTCTTTTAGTTTTCACAATAGAATATATACATACCTTGATCCTGAAGCCTGAATGCACAAATTCAAGTACAAAGAAAAAAGTAATTTGGCATTGATTTTCGTGGTTTTTATTTTCTTAATTTCTGAATT